ACATACGACAAGATGCACTGAGAGGGCGCGCCTGGCCGGCCACACTGTGTCAAGTCTTAACCCAACACTCAGGACTCAGGCTTAACATGCCTAACTTTCATCCTGTCGGTTTATTTTCATTTCTCTTTCCAACACTTTTGCAGCGCTTTTCACGATGTGCGTAGCTCATACGGTGGAGCTGGTGACCAGAAGGTGTTTTTGCGGACAAGCCGAGTGAATCCAGTGAGAAGCCATAGGGCAATCAAGACTGGTCAAAACCCCTGGTTACAAGAAAATGTCGTGCCGCAGCGGGGGGAGCGGGCCCGAAATATGTCTCTTTACCTGCCGTTGTTTTGCACTTAACCCATGGACACTCGCGCTTGTCAAGTAGTCTAAGAAGATGCCAAGACTGATGTTTGCCGTGACCCAGTGACTGACTGATTGTTATTTTGTACCGGTGTTGTACTTCAGTGTTTTTGCGGACACGTGCACTCACCGAATAGTCTAGCTGTGGAGCATCAGGCCTGTGAGTTCTGTAGAGCACTTTTCTCAGATGGGCGGTCGGTTTGTTTGCTTGCTTTCTTGTAACCATCTTACAGTGAGTCCTGGTGCCCCAGCGGCCGCAGGATCTTCTTTTCTGTGCCATGAGCGCACAGCAAAGGGGGACGAGCAGCTGCTGCAGTGATCATCCGGCAGTGGAATCTGTACTAGGCTGTCATTGGAAGTCTGGGTGCAAGTGCGAGAGGATGATCGGCAAGGAAGTTTCACGCCCCAGGAAATGACATGCTGCGATATGGTACCAGGAACCCCTGTAGTTAGTCGTATGTGAGCTGTTTGGGTTGCTGGGGCTACATCGCGCCGTGTAGCCCGGGTGAGACCAGACTTGGACCTCTGCTCGCTTGTGGGGGCTGCTTGCTTTGCCTGCGAGGTGTCGTAGGACCCCTTACAGCCTGAAGAAGAAAAAGAGAGGGAGAGAGAGGGCGATTGGGGGAGAAACCTTGTGGGAGTGGGAGGTGGATGTCAACAGTTTGAGAGAATTGGAAGCTGATCTTCGTGACAAGCCACTAGGCACTAGTTGATAGGAGATATCACTCCATGGCGCTCCATAATGAGTGATTACGAGCTACCCTGCTCAACAATGCGGAACCACTGTGGTAGAGGCAGACCCACTAAGGTAATTCAGCAGGGCCGCTCATGCTGTGTTGATTGATGTTGTACTATGTTTTCGCAGGCAAGGAGTTCGGTCCTTGGGTGTAATCTCCAAAAACAAGGCCCGATACAGGTTTGGGGGAGTTCCAGAACCTGGCTACACACGCTGCCTCAACGCCCGCATGAAAGAGCGAGAGCGAGAAAAAGACACGGAGAGACTGATGCAAGGAGCCTGCGAGGGTGCCGAGGGTGCTATCCTCCGGTCCTCTGGGATACCCAGCACGAGGTGAAGGGAACGGGAGGAATATGTGATAGTGCCAAAGTTGCCTGATGACGCTTGAGACGGAAAAAGCCAGCCAAGGAAATTAGAGTGAGTACGGCTAGCAACGACTTATGGCATTTAAACCTGGCACCCGTTGAAAGCTTAGTTCGAGCTGAGGTCCAGCAGAACTCTTCCTTTTGGCAGCAATGCGATTGACCTCATCGTCGTAGACCCGCTGGGGCCAAGAATTGACCTTCATCATGCCTCCCGGAAGCCATTTGCTCCTAGGCCGTGGGGCCAGCGCCACAGCAGGCCCCGTCTGACTGCTATGCTGTGCACTTGCGTGTCCCTTGCGGATGGTTCGTGCTTTTCGTGACTTTGCCCTTCCTGTGCTGACAGTCCGCCCTCCCATGCTTGGCTCTTTCACACAGGGCGCCCAGCCATGTTGCCGGTTGCCGGCACACTTTGCCCAAAGCTTCGGGGCCTCGGGCGAAGCCAATAGCTTCAGAAAACTGGGCGAGGCTCTGAAGCCATTGGCTTCGAGCAAAGCCAGTTTCTCGAAATTGATTAGGCGGCCCCGTGTGCAATTGATGATGTCGTTGAGCTCCGCTAGTAGTTTGGAATAATTTCTTTCATTGCGCTGCAAGTCAGCCGTTGGCCCTGGAGCACTTGTCGTTTGTCCACTTCGTCTCGATAGCGTGGCATCCAAGCAGAAGCTGGATTGCTGCTGCTACGTCGCTACGTGCCTGGAACAGAGCTTTTGTTGAAGACTAAGCGGATCTGCCCAGGCATGTACCTCGAGTGTGCCTCATTGATGTAATTCGAAAGTCGCAATACGTCACACAATCTTGCCATGCAGCGTAGTAACATGGAATCCTGATTCGCGTATGGCAAATCGTCCGAAAAATTGATGAAATCATTTCTTGCCCCTCAAGAACGCCTGGAACCTAGACCGTCAGTGGACTGGCCGCCTGATAACTGGACAGGTGTGTAGATCCACCTTGTATGATGAACAGCCAGTGATAAAGAATAGAAGCTACTAAGAATTGATTCCGTAACTTGGTCAGTCTCCAGTTTTGGCTGGGAAGCACGTGCAACTTTTGAGCAAAAACTTTGTCTACTACGCTGTTGCAGCAAGCATGCTTGGAAGGCAGCAGCGCCCGAACTTATTGCAAGACAACTGGCGTCCTCTGAAAAATCCAGCTTTGTGCAACGTGGTCTCTAAGGATATAGCCCTGTTAGGATTTGAATGGAGAAGATTTAACCGCTCACGCGAGACCGCTTCGGCAAAGCGCCGAGGGTGAGAGCGCCCCTCCCCTCCCAAACCCCCCCTCCCCACCTCGCTCCCTCCCCTCCCCACCTCTCCATCCGCCCCCATCCTCCCCTCCCAAACACTTTCACACACAAAATCCGCAGTTTTGGCTTCACCCCCCGAATCGTGCGCATTGGGAGGGGGTAGGGGGTGGGTTAATTTATTCTTCCGGCGGCCCTCGATCTAAACGCCGCAGGCCTCCGGCCAGTCTTGTCAACCTGAGACAAGGAAGAGTGGCCAAGTAGGCAGGGAACTCAATTGTATCTTACGTAGATGCCCTTGAAAGCCAATCAAGCCAACTGCATTTTGAAACGACATGTGGGAGATCTTGGTTTTGATAATCGAAAACTTCTGGACTAAAGTTTGTGCCGAAACTGCTTTTGCTTCTTGCTACACTGCCAGGGTCTTTGCCATTGCGCAAGCCTTGCCCATGGCGCCTACCACCCGCTCCTTTAATACGGGATGGCGTCCTTTGATCTGCGCTGGCAGAGGTCCGTGATATGGAGCCTCGTGAAGCTTGTCCGGAACCATGTGGCATGTGCCAACAAAGGCCTTGCAATATTTTACATCACCGCAATCTCCGGCAACTGCTTTGCTTCGTTAGGAAAGCAAGGGCAGGCTTTTGAGCTGCAACATGTTGCCTGGAAGTTGTTCCAGAGGAAATGCCCGCTGCTTTGCAGAGCTGAGTCCCGCACTGGAGTGGCAGGCAGCGCCATCGCACTGCGCAATTGGGTTCGGGCGCTGACTGCAAAACGTAAGCCTAGCAAACTGCTTGATGGCTGTTCTGGCGGCCGACATGAATAAAGAACCTTGCCAATCAAGCTATCAGCCTGTCCATGACTTAGCATTTACAGCCGATTATAGCTTTATAGCTGATGATCACCAGCGGCTCGCATCATCTCGCATCTCAAAGGAGCCGTTGTGGCAAAAAAGCCTATGAAGCCACTCCCATATTAGCATGCTTGGGCAACAGCCAAATGGGGCGAAACGTTCTCGAATGCTCTCGGCCCCCATCTGACAAGATGCTGTGTATTTGTGGGTCGAAGTTCAAGTTCCCGATAATCCTGCACGGATTGCAACATGCCTAAAAGGCTGACTGTGCAGAGCTCAGGCTGCCAGGCTTGTAAGAATGAAAAATGAATATGCTGCGGAAACAAGGGCTGCAAGAAGTACTTGGCTAGCGGGAAGACGCTTCCAGTCCTTATGGCGTCCTTCTGGCAGGGGTTCAGCTGCATCTCCAACTTGGTCACTGTGTTAAGGCTGTAAACGAAACTCAGGCTTGATGCAAAACGTGCTTCGGGACACTGTGCCGAACTGCATCAATCGATTGCACTTTCTAAACCATTTGTCGGATATGGCTTTGCTAGTGCCGAAAGACTACATGCGATTGTGGGACTGTTGGAAGTCCTATGGCATGGTATGGTCAGTACCGTCCTCTCGCAGCGATGCCCGTTTGTTTAGTGTCTCGTTGTCCGCGGTGGTCTGGCATACTAGGGAGGTGGATCGGCTCCCACACTTGTTCCGCCCTCAGGCATACGTACGTCAAGCAGCACCTCTATGCTTGGGTCTTCCACACAGGATGGTCCAAAGTTCTGCATGCGAACTGTTGCGTGGAAGTCATTTAGGCGCGCGAATGGGCGCGTGTTCTGCGCCCTGGAGGCTCGTGCTCCGTGTGTGCGATTGCATCTAGTTACGACCTAGCTGCACCTTCTTGACAGTATGCCACATAAGGTGCTGGGGTCCAAGTCTGCTAGGAGTCGAAGTTGCCAGTCAGGCCTTATACGGGTTAGGAGGGGTCTAGTTGAGAGGAGGGAGGGGATTGTAACAGGCAGCGCTGTTGCCAAGTTGACTTCAAGGCATGTTCCAAGCAGTGAGCGATGGGGTGCAAGCAGCATGACGAGCTGGCCTAGTGAGGCAGCCGTAATTCCACACTTGTTCTTGAACTTCCCAATAATCCCCCAAAGAGGCTTCAGTTTGTTGGGGCGCCTAGGGTGGGGCAGAATATAGATGGTCCCAGGTCTCGCCGACAACATGAAGATTTGTGGTATAGGGTTGCACAGCGCCCGGTCCATCAAGCATGATTTAGTATGCGTGAATTCCTTCGCCGGTCTTGAGCCCAAAGCATCCGTGACACCGTAGAATCTAGAACTGCTGAGCCACTTCAGATTTGAAAGTGCCCTGCAACCCTGGCCCAGGAAGTTCACCTGGTTTTTCCAAACCCTGTTTGTTCCATGATGGGATAGTCTTTCAGCCAGAATTGACGCGGGCTCCTTTGTCACAAAGCAGTAATGTGCCAACATGGGTGGCAGCCTGTCCAGCAAGACGTCCACTTGCCGGGTACGAAATCGCCTTGGGTGTCCTGCAGCGTGGCACAACTTTGCCCGTCAGCTGCTGCAGCGCTGCAGCAAACACGCAGCTTCAAAAGCTTCAAGTTCCAAAGCCAAGGTCCAGCTGGTGGCGCCAACCAGCGGCGGGAGCGGCGGGGCCTTTTGTCCTTTGATTGTTGCACATGGTGCTGAGCATCTGCAGCTTGGAAGACGACGTAGGTGTTGTAGATGGCATGACGACTGGACACCTGGATTTGGAGCCACTTGCCTTGCTCACCTAAGGATTGAAAGCGCTGACCCTGAGGGCCAAATTGTTGCCATCAGATTCCAACTCGGCGGGCGGGAGTATGACAAGGCTGTAGCCGCACTGTAATTTCCCGGAGCCTTGGCTGATGTGACAGCATTGTCATGGACTTCGCAAGGCCTTCAAGGTGCCAAATGATGCAGTTCTCCTACTGCGTGTGTTCGAGAAGGAAGAGATGCCTGGTGGAAAAAAGCCTCTCTTCGGATTTGGGACAGCTAAATGCCAGCTATGCGCACTCAGTCACTCAGGATTGCCTTTCGGGTTCAGACTGCCGCTGGTTCGCTGCCAGCAGAAGAAGTCGATGTTGCCGATCTTTGGCAGGTTCAACCACCCAGAAGCACCTGAAAGCTTTCCACAGCAAGCAATTTTAAGTATGTTCTGCAGGCTGTCAGCCAGGAGGAAGGCCTGGAGCAGAAGGGAGCGAGCTCCCCGCTGCGGGCAGAAGCTGATGAGGTACCTCTGATTGCAACATATGCTTGCCATTCCCAACGAGCCTTCAGTGCAAAGGCAGAAAAGGAGAAGGCTAGCACAGCAGCGGTGTCCGACGGTCCGCTGTGACCCAGCTGCATTGGAAACATGGTCAAACGCCTTGATGATGCCCTGATATCGGGACAGAGGTGCTATGCGACTGGATCTGGCACTTGGGTGGATGCAGATCCTGCGTGTGACAAAGAGGCAGAGCATGGCAAAGGGCGCTCGAGTTCTGCGAGTTCGGAAGCCTTGCTCAGGAGCTGGACACGTTCGAAGTCCAACCGGACACAGAACAGAATTGCGTCCAAGCCTTTGCTACGAGCTTAGAGTGTGACATGCTGTTGCTCCTTTGTAGGCCTATCTAGAATCGGACCCAGCGTGGACACCAGCGCAGTGGCTCGGCCAAGCGTTTTGGGTAGGAGCTTCAGCAGAAAGCCTTGGATCTGAAATCATGAGAACATGGACTAAGCGCCTGCTCCACAAAATGCCGGGGGCTTTCATCAGCCCTGTTCAACCAAGACTTGCTATGGGTGACAAGTAAGGCACAATCTACTTGCGGAGCTTTTGGACTTGCAGTTTTCCGCTGTGCGATCCCGAAAAGCTTTGGACGCGGGCTGCGCTGACCTGGAGGATGCAGTAGAGTGGTCTGCACCTCGGTAGGCTGCGGCGTTGCATTTGTTGCATGTCTGCAGCAAATTTGCCGCGGGACCCTTCTTCCTGATTCATGTCAGGAGAGCAAGGGGTCAGTAACAGGCCATGAAATAGAAGGAAAGAGGAAGCCTCGGCTTTAAGGGAGTTCTGAACAAAGCCCAACCATCTCACCGTGCCATGAGATGGAGAGGCATGGGCTTACGGACATTTTCTGCAAACCTACCCGTCTCCTGATATGAACAGGCATAGCCCCACCAACTTGTCGTAAATCCGACCCTCTCATGATGCCGTAAAATGGACAGGCATGCTCTTTATGACATTCTGCTAGATCCCGCCACTCTCATCATGCCATGAGATGGAGATGAACATGCCCATGCAGGAGCTATAGAGACACGCAGCAAGAATCACCTCTCTGTTTACCGGAGTCTCCCCTCTTCTTTCTCCCGACTCACGCTTTGTCTTGTTCGCGACTTCCACTTCAGACTTACGACTTACTTGCCCGGCATGGCCGTCAAAGTCAGACAGGCCCTGCTGCAAGAGATTGCAAACTTTGCAACCAAGGCTGGAAAAGCATCAGCATGACCACGATATAGACATCTCCCCAGCTACGCTACGAGCTCGGGAGGATCCGGGCATCATTTCGAAAACCAAGTTCTGCATCTGTGTCAGCTATTATCAGCTGTTTGTTTCTGGGTGCAGGATGAAGAGGTGGCTCTGGCTGTGCTGAGGGTGCTCACAGTTCCGCCTCTGCATCGTCTGTCTTGCCTTCAAGCAGTGTGCTTTCGCTGAGCTTTGTCTCGGGCTTTTGTTGCGCGTGGCATGCTAGCTCTCATGCAGCGTGTTCATGGTGCTGCCGTGTGCCGCCCTGCTTCAGGCACCGAGTCCTCAAGAACATTCTTGCAGACCCCGAGTCAAGCCGAGTTAGGCAATTAGTCTGATTTGGATCCGGCTTCATGTCAATCCATGGTGCATATGCATGGCGAGGCAGATACGCATCCAGAATCAACGCTTCAAGGAAAGGATTGGACGTTTCCCACAAGCTGTCTCACTTCTGCGGAAGATCGGCGACGCTCCAGCAAATGAGAAGCTTGTCACCAGTTCGCGCAACTGCGCAGCTTGGATGGTTGGACGATGTTGGTTTCAGCCGAACCCGGCTAAGGTTTCCAGCAGGGTGACTTTTGGACAAGCGCTTTCGACCGCGAATCATGCCTGGAATGGCGTCTCCCGGTGATCCGCACAATTTCGGCAAGTGAAGCACTGCCAACGAATCACAACATTATCCCATCACCAGGTGGGGTCTGCAAACCCAATGTCTCAACGCATGGAGCGTGACCCGGCTGGAAGTTGGAGATTTCTCGACCAGCAAGGGGTGTTTTGGGTAACTCCGTCTTAGGTGCCTTCTCATTGATCGACGAGGTCCTTCGAGCACCGGAATCCTGGATCCCCAGCGTGTGTTCAGCGATGCCGGAGGCTCTGGGCAATTCTGCCCGAAATGCGCAAGGAGGGCGGGAGGAAGTAGTGGAATCTGCATTCCTGGATTCCAAAGCATGTCAGGGAGTCGAAGACTACCCCGAATGGCCTCATGGTGGGAAGATGTGTTGCCAGTCAGGTGAAGAGCAGCCTGGGTGAAGTGGTAGGCGAAGTGAGCGAGTGGCAGCCATCCGAAATGGCCGCATCCACTGCTCGTGACTGGTCTCAATTGGCAACTATGGCGCGTGCAATCAAGAGAGCGTGCGGCTTTCTTTCCGTGATTCCATAATGCATATTGAGGCGAGCTGCTCGCGGAAGTGCATGCGCGTCGAGCTCGCGACCCGCGTGGATTCCAGGAAGCCATGCGTAATGCAGGACCCCGGCAAGTGAACCACACTTTCCTGAGCACGTGTTATGCAGCTCCATGCCAGGACGGCAGGCAAATCCATCTGTCTACAGTCTGCAAATGCCTGCAAGTGACGCCAACTGGCGGCCGTTGTCGGAGCGCTTTCCTGGCAAGCGAGAGCGTCTATCCTGCATGCCAGCCTTTCGGACGGTCAGACTGTCAGACACCTCCCTGAAAGCTCTGACATGCGCCGACATGCGTAGGTTCGGCTCCAGTCCTCATGACTCCTGATTCTCGGGGACCTTGCTTCAAGGTTCTGTATTGCATGCGCAGGCTGCAGCGCGACCAGGTCTAGGTGTCAGGTTCTCCTATTCTAGGGGAAGGATTTCAAAACAATCTGCCGAAGCACGGCCCAGGTTTAATCTGCAGGATCTGGAGAACATGCGCGTTGAAGAAGCCATTGGCAACATGCCGCTGCCGCCCGCATGCAGGGAGAGAGTTTGTTTCAGAATGTTCCTTCCATTATGTTCAAGATCCCCAGGTATGCACGGGAATACGAAGCCAGCCTCGAGCAGGCAACAACTTACGGAGACTCGGATTGTCAGGCTGCATGGCCAAGCAGTTCCAGCTTGTGGTTGCTCAATGTGGCGCATGCTTTGATGGCAGCAATCCACATTGCACTGTGAGAGTGCAAAATTTTCACACTAAATGAGAAGTCCGGCCTAAGGTTGGGATGGCAGCTGCCCATTTGCTATTTTCTTACCCTCGCCTGAGGACAGCTGGTCTCACGAAGCTACGATCCAAACTACTTGGGACGAAGAGCCCTTGATGAGACCAACATCTTCAGAGGATCTCAGCGGATGCCGCCACTGCGCATCTTCTGCAAAGCCTTTGAGGGTCCTCATATCTGGTAGGCATGGTAGGCTTGGGTTACGACGAAGATAGCACTTGTAGGTGCGCGCTGGTTGTAATGTGCTGCGGGCCCTTGCTCACCATCCAGAGGCCAGTATTGGAGACCTGTCTAAGGGAACCGGTTGGAAGTGCTCCAGACTGTCGGGTAGCGAGGTCAGGTAGATTGGACTTGGTTTTCAGTACTTGCTATGTTGCCACCTGTGGCCCATAGGAGAAGATAGGAGAAGAGTACGATGCAGTATAGTGTGAAGTGTCCATTGTGAATTGTATCCTTGAACGGAGCCGGCTTGTTTGAATGATCGTATCCGCCATGTTGGGGAGCACCCTCTTCAAGACAACTTGTCAACATTTTGCTTGCGTTGCATGTTGCGAATCTTGTTTACGACGACATTTCTTCAATGCACAGAACCGCCCGGCGGCCAAAGGCAGGTATAGGTGTTCGGTATTACATGCCTTCAAGACGTGAAGTATGGATGTCGCACCAGACATGTTGTACCATCTCAGGAAGTGGTGCCAAGGGATCGCAGATATCGCAGCAGAACATGCTCGTCAGATGGCACGAGGCGGTCCAGTGCATTAGCTGCCACCTGCCCATGCTGCAGACACTGGCAAACCTGATGGCATGCCTTGCTCACGTTCAACCATTTTACTCGAAAGTCCAGATGCCCTCGCTGGAGACTGGGCGTTCATGCCATGATTCCAATGTCGATGCTGGCCACAGACCGGCAAATTCTGCCAGAGGAAGATGCAAGTCACCTTCTTGACGTTGCGCTGGCACGTGAATAGCGCGCAATGTCCGGGCCTTCGCGCTCTTGACTCTTGCCTTGTCGGGCGCGCTTTTGTGGAAATGGATAAAATGTCTCGCGGAAAGCGTCCAGAATGGCACGTTGGTCATATGTGCCAGGCTGAAGCTGGCAAGCGCTGCAAGAGTTCCGCCCAGAAGTCAACTGACAATAGGAGGTCCACTCGTTTTTTCAGCGCGTGCCTGATGTAGATACTTGAAAAGATGATGCATTGTCATGGGTGGGTGGGTGGGTGGGTGGGTGGGTGGTGCCGAACCCTAGCTGAACACCCGAGATTCGAGGGTCGGCTGTTTGTCTGTGAAGCATTGGCTGCCGCTGCAAAGCAAGGCAGCTACAACTTCTGTTAAGGTAAGTAGGCGTCACCATGTTGCGGCTAAACGAGCCGCAAGCTTGCTGAAGTCAGCCTGTGTTTGCACAACTTGCATCTTGTTGGCAAGTCGCATCGTGATGACAATTCATTGCTGCCATGGTCAGGTGAGATGCCCTTTAGCCATGATGGTTTCTCGGATCGGGTGCGGCGGTATCCGATCCCACACCTGAGTGCGGCAGAGACACTTGGTTTGACTGATCTTCTTTCGCCGTTGAGTCTCATGTGATGACAGACGGCCGCACGTACTTGGCTTATGTCAGCTTCACATGAGTGGTGTTGATCGTGTTGGAATTGAACCTGCTCCGCTCCCACATTTTGAACACCATCTTCTCACACTGTAAGACCTATCACAGGTGATTGAGCCCAAGAGATCCGCATGTGATGTGCCATGGTTGTACCAGCTGTTGGCATGAGGTCAGGACCTTGAAATACCCTGAGATTGCAGACTTGTAAACTGGCCGGGGCTTCTGGCTTTTGCACAGAAACTAGGATCCACTAATTTCGAGCTGAAGGCATGCAAGGAACTTTCAAGTTAACAGCAAGCTTGCTCCTTTGGCCTGAGCTGTGTTGAACAACCTCTTCCTGAGATTGTTTGTCCGCAATGTCATTTTGTGAGTCGGCAATGGCTGCAAGATTGAGGGGCTTCTGGAGCTCAATTTCGGGCCTGGCGGCAAGTGCCCGGCCTGCCTCCCCCCTCCCAAAGCCCCTACCCGAACTCCAGCTTTGCCTGAGGGCCTACAGACATGCTTTCCGGATGTCAGGGTTTTTGATGTCCTATGAGATGCGTCTACATGCGTCTGTATAGTTTCCCCTGTGGTTGGCAAACCTCACGTAGGCAAACCTGTACATATTCTCCCCCTAAGCAAGAAATTATCCTTCATCAAAATCCAGACGTTAGCCCCCAACTTGGCACAGATTTACGCTATTTATGCTACCTATCTCTGGAACTAGAGACATATCCACCAAACAGCACAAGTTCTCGTGCCAGCAAGGTTCTTATTGCAAGTTTTTAGACTACGAGCCTTTTGAAAACCGAGCTCAGCCCAAAATGAGCCCCCATCGTGCTGATGATGCTGGCGTACGGCGCGCTCGCGCGACGGACGCCAGCATCATCAGGACAATTGGGACCCCATTCGGGTTAAAGTGTGATCAGGACGGTTTTGAGACTGTCGCAAAACCATCCAAGTTGCTTCGAATGCGTCTTTAGGCGCAAGCTTGCCATGTTCTGGCCCACATTGTCCCTTCTTTAGAAACATATCCAAAAGGCTCTAAAAGCCATGCCGAGTGCCCAGGTTTCACGGCTTGGCTTGGGTAATGGTTTTACTACCACAAGTTTTGCTGGTTTTTACAGCACGTTTTGGGCCCCCGCATGCCAGGCATGCCCCAACAGCCGCCAAGAACCCAGCATCACACATATTAATTAAGGGTTCAGCACCCCTCCAAAATCCCTAGACATGTTGAGGTGCCAAAATTGGCGCAATTGTGCTGATGATGCTGTAGAGAAAAGTTGCCACAAACGGGTGGGAAGCTTGAAGCACGCGTCTCCAAGAATCGTCTTCATTTTTGAACCCCCAAAGAATCGTCGACCTAGGGCTTCATGAGGGGGTTGGCGGCTCGGGCGTCCCCTCGTATAAAGTCCGGTGCCGGCCTGGCCGCCGCCCCAGCCATCATGTGAAAGCTAAGCCCACCCCAACCTGCTGATGCTCCTGACCGAGAGAAATGCACGAAAAAATGACGTTCTTGTTACCTTGGATGTGTTTTTAGGTTTGGAAGGTCTTGTTCTCTCTAGTCTAATTTAACTGAAGCTGACCCCAGTTTAGCTTAATTGGGACCAGGAGGGTCAAAAACCCAAGAAAAGCTATCAAGACGACTTTGAACATGGTTCTCTGCGCCGGCTGAAAGTGCTGTTTTTTGGCAAAGCACCCCACATTTCACCTATTGGAAAAGCGTAGGAGCCACAAAAGTGATGCCGGAAACATGGGGAGAACACACAGGTCAAACATGCAACATGCACAGTTTTTAGGGTTTGGCCTGGGCAATGCAGGCCAGACCCGTTTCATGCTTGCAGTGCAGGTCCTAGTAACATTGTATTTACAGCCACAAACATTGCCCACAGCATGTAGTTTGAGCATTTCGTGAGGGTTGGTTGTTATGAAAATGAGTCAGAACCATAGCCCATAGCGAAAACTGAAATCAAACTAAGATCCTCTCCTGCTCCTGCTGCTCTTGCTCTTACTCTTCTTCCTCCTACACAACTGGTACTAGCAGAACCATGACGGCCCATCTGAGCGGGCTCTGGTCCTACAGTCATTTATTACGAGCCCCCCCCCCCCCGGGATCAGAAGATTCGGCCCGAAAGTGACATGACCCAGAAAACAGCTCAATATTGGTAACTTCAAACGTCTTCTCATTTTTCCACCGGTGCAAGGGACTCTCTCTTTGATTTGGGACGAGACGCTCGCTTTCAGGCAGACTTCGCTTTTCAAGGATCAGGGAGGGGGTTCAGCGCGCCAACGGTATGGTGAGGGTCAGAGGTTGAGGGGTCAGTCTCGCCTAAACCCCCGGCCTCGCATAAAGTAGGCTTTGCTATGCCAACTCCACCGGGTTTCAGCTGAGGTCTGGCTGGCCCGGCCGTTCAACAATTGATGACGCTAGGGATGGGAGGTGGCATAGCAAGCTCTCGAGTGTGCCGAAGCGCCCCATGGCACTTAGAAAAATATTGTCCCAAATCCTCAACAAGCCTCCCAAAACCTCTCAGTAAGCTCTTTTACAGGGCAGGCCTTCTTTTCAAAGCGTCTGAAATGGTTGGTCCAAGTCTGGCATGCCACCTCCTGCACCAAGCAAAGCACATCGGTACACCTGGCGTGAGGACCGCAAAGAGGGGCTCGCATTTTCGTCAGTTCCCATGTCGGCAAACATGTCGTCACGCCCTTTCAGGCTTTCTTAGAGAGGGGAGTGCATGCATGGCTTTACCGGTCAGTCCTTCGCACGGAGCTTGCCTGAAAACCTGCGGCATCTTCTCATTCCGCAGAAAGCTTTTTTTCAAGGGGTCTGTGCTTGCTTACGATGCCATTTGGGCAAAAGCCACAGCATCATGATTGTTTGAGCGCTGTTTCGGCTTTGGGGTCAAAAGAGCAGTGCTTCTGAGGAACCTGGCATACAACAGTGGTATGGCAGATGCTGCTGGTGCCGCTGTCCAGGCCTGGAAGCTGGAAAAAACATGAAGAAGAAAGAGATCTTTGCAGTTCACAGTTTGGTCCAAGGGGTGGATCAAGTCGCCGGGCCACCGGAAAAATTTGTTGGGCGCCTTCGATCTTTGTGGGATTGGTCCCTGGGCTGTTGATGCTTGGTATGGCTCGCTGAAAGCTGCTTGGCTTCTTTCAAACATTCTCGGAGACTTAGGAGTTGCACAGTCCATCTCGGGACAGTTCTTCTTCACACAGCTCTTTGCTCGAAGTGCTGGCGGGCCGCTATGTTGAGTTAGACCTCCGCTCCTGAGGAGATCCAGCTGCCGTGTTGAATTGTACAGGACACAGCTTCAGCTAAACAGCTGGGGGAGGTTAAGTGATTCCGCAAAATAGGCCACGCGCGCATATTGCCCCGGGCAGTCGTGCGGCCGCATTTTGGCATGCTCATTGCTGTAAATCATTCGCATGAGTTCATGCAGGTGTAGCCCTTGTGCGGCCCCAAGGTTTTTGAACGTCAAAGGTTGGTGTGATATGGTGTGATTGTCTGACGCTCCTTTCCCGCCATCTGTCCAGAGCTATCCAGGTGATCACTATTTGTACCAAGCACTTTGAAAGCCTTCGCCTCATTTGCATGAATGCATGACTGTGGGCAGTAATTTGGCCTCGCCCAAATGACCATTTTGGCCTCGGCAAAGATGCCTCCATGGACTCGCCCGTGCTCAATCACAGATTCACCAGACGCCAGCCATCGCAAGCCCTGTCAATTCAAGCTGTGGGGTATTGAGTGGGTGGAAGAAACAAAAACAAACAGCCCACGCTCAGATCAAGTCATGCGGTACTTGGAGAAGGAGGGCTGCCTGATTCTGGAGGCTGGACAGCTTTGGGTCGAGCCAGCGTGTTTTCCAAACCAGTCTGGTGAGGACGGCAGGTTGTTCGACAACAAGGGTTGGACCCAGCAGCCTATCTGCATGTGTGTGTGTGTGATCGGGTTCGGACGGTCGTGTGACATTCTGTCAGGTGCAAGGTCTACACCCTCCGCAAGCCAGCCAAAGACTGCAGCATCTTCGCTTGCATTTTCAGAATGAGGACTATTGAATTTACGCATTTCTTGTGTTTTTTTGAGTTATGTAGTGCTCTGGTCCGCTGATCCTTTGGTCCCCTGGTCCGGAGGTCCTCTGTCCCTGGGCCATTTGGCCTCCCATGAGAGTCCTGTAAATTGCAGCATTTCGAGTTCTTGAGAGGCTAGGGACACGGCACGTTACAGCATTTGCAGTTTTTGTGTTGTAAACTACAGCATTTGGAGCTTTTGGAAGGCTACGGGTACGACGACTTAGTGCTTTATTAGCAGCTCTTGAAAATAGACGGCAAATTACAAAGTTTATGGGTCTTGAAAGGCCACCAGCATTGGACAAATTCCAGCACTTGCTGCCATTGCAAAGCTGCGATTATTGCAGGTTACCGTGCGTGGAGTTCTTGAAAGCCTACGAGCACGATGAATTGCAGCATTTGTGGCCTTGGAAAAGCTATGGACACGGAAATTACAGCATTTCGAGTTCTGGTAAGGCTGTATACTGTACACGCGGTCAAGGACAGGCCATGCAATGTTTGAAGACACAGGACGCAGTGCGATGATGAAATGGAGCATGTTGTGATGCCAGTGCCATGCGATGAGTTTTACCACAGGCTTGGATTCCGCATACCTCCAAATGCTATGTTCACCAGCACTCGTAGCCTCCAAGCATCCTTGGGACTCTGTGCCGCGATGAAAATTTGCATCTCACATAATATTTGATGAGCATTGCACCAGAACCACAAAAATGCACGTAAAACAGTTCCGAGCCCTTTTCAGAACTCCTTCTATTCTTGCGATGGATCATGCTCAAGCAGAGCCGGTCCAAGAAGCAATCCTTGTTTCGATGACGATCTGCTCTGATCCACAGCAAAGTCCAAGAAAACGGTGCCCCTGACTGCATTCAGTTGATGGGCGGTGGTGCTCCGGTTCCGAGTCGTTTGATTGGATTTGCGAATCGAGTGCTTTTCAATGTCGGGCCTCGCTGCAAGACAGCGCATGCTGGACTTGTCACATTAAGCAGTTAGCACTTTCTGAGAAGATAGATTTGGGCTGAAGAATTAACTACACAAGCGCGCTCTCAGAACCTCACGGGCTTGAAAAAGGGCAGTGTAAAAGGTACACCTGCCCCTGCGACCCACCCCGTCAAGTCCATTTCGGGCCGGAGAACCTCCGCAAGTGCGACTCCCTGTGCGCCGCTGCTTGTCAATAGTAGGACCTGGTAGGAGGTGTGCAAGTGCCCGCGCCGCTGCCTGCTCAGCTGTCGATGCTCGACATCAGCGATGACCTTCAAACCTGTTTTAGATTGTACCCCATCTGATACTTGGAGACCCTGAGCTATGATTGCAAGTGTCTTGCATCGTTCGTGGCTGCCAGGAAAGGTCTTGGCTGTCGAGATCGCGTCCTCCTCTGTGCAATTGAGTTTGCGGGACCATTGATGTCTTGGGGCATGACAGAAGCCGTTGTTCAGCTGTTTGTTTTGTTTCAGTGTCAGTATTCGATGACACGGCGGGTCTTGCTGCACGTTCCGTTTCTGTTGTCCACTTCCCCGTTGTAGTTAGACGAGTTCCAAGATGCGTGCCGCACGCGGAGGAAACTTCAAACAGCTGAGGCAAAATCGCGTTGGGCGCTGGGCAGCAAAAAATCATTGCATTCTTTCATGTCTTTGTCCTGCTGGCAAGCAGTGGGAATTCTCCTAGAGTGCTCACAGATCTTGGCGCATGTGATTCCTTCATGCAGAAGCTTGGGCATGCTGGTTTTTGGCTACAAGCTTGCACGAATTCGCAATACAGATTTTTGTAAGACGTTTAGGTGTAACGGCAGGATGAAGCGGTAGCTTGAAGCTGGCTTGGTCCTTGTGATGGATTTCTGGAGGATGCACAGTAGAACCGGCTTCCAGTTCACCATCAAACACTTAGAGAAAACAGGTGCAAATGAGGTCGGGGCATACGGTTGATGGGTTCTGCGAGTCTGCCGGCACCGCTTAGGGATGTGCGGCATCGGTGAGGCTTTGTTTGGTAACCGGAGGACTGTCTTGGAGCTTGCTGCCTCGCAGTTTGGGAGGCCCATGGGCAGCTTCACCTTACTGGCTGTCCTCGGCAGTGGAAGTTCCAGGCAAAGCTGGGGCCGCGGAACGACAAAATGTTTGGATGTTTTGACCAAAGGCTGTCATGCCATCACCGTCAGCCCTTGGCAGCATACCAGGCCGGGGCTCAGTGAGGCTCCAAAACATACCCAAAGTTTGCTGTGGCTGAAGCGGCTGAAGGCAGGATCCGTCCTTGTCATTTGGGACTTCACACGCTTCGGTGATGAGTCTCGGCGGTTCATCCTCTTGCGTGTGCCCCAGTTGAGTCACGTGTAGCGAGTTTGCATGCAACACGCGCAATGCGCTGAGTCAGCTTCTTGCTCTTGGACTGCCATTTCGGCTGAAAGCCGCAAAGCCGAAACCCATCGAAACCTTCCATCATCCATGTCTGGCCACAGGCCATTTGCTCAACATGTGCAGCCTTTCCTGGCAAGCAGAGCGTCCTGCATCACCTCGTGCTCTTCAATTCAGCAGCTTGCAAAACCGTTCGAGCCATGAAGCTGATTCATGCGGGCTGGTGGGCAATTGGTTGCTTGCCCTGGCTTGCAGCGTGCCATGATTCAGAATGCGCCGATGGTACCGTGGAGGGTGCCTGGAACTGCAGATAGCTTATAAAACTCGAGGCACTGTGGTGAACGCCAGCCCAAGAACTGCTGCTACTGAAGCTTGAAAGTCTGCCCAATTGCTTAGATGCATGCGGTCCGCTAGGCATTATGGCTTGTTTGAAAAGGGAAAGGAGGGAAGCGGAAGACGAGCGTTGTGCATCTTCCCCTAATTTCAGATACACAGAAACCCTGTGTTAGACAAAGTTTTCAGGTGCCACATCTCTTTTGCAAACCACGATTCAGCTTCAGCGAGCACAGCTCCTTGGCCTTGGCCTGTTTTGATTCTTGAGGGGCAAAGGGTTGAGGTCGGGGCATCTTGCCTGAAGTAAGGCTGTCGACCTCTGCAAGGAGTGATCTGCCCCATGGCTTTGTTTGGATTTTTTAGGCGAGACGGGAAAGAAGGACACACTACAAGTGTCGAGAGCAAGCCATGCATTGATTTCGTGCACTCCACTACTGGCTCCTACTGGCTCAACTGAAGGCTCAGTCGCAAGGCATCAGAACTGATGCCTATAATAGCATACCTTTCAAAGTGAATTCCTGACAGGGCCCAGCTGAGTTTGAAGTTTACTCCAAGAAGTTGTATAGCATCTTCAGGCAGAGGACGGCTTGCACCGACACCATGGCGGTGAAGGGCTCGACAAAAGGCATGCCAATCCTTGGATACATTGCTTGCTGCCTCATCCTTGGGCCACACGGATGTCTAAGTGCAGATGCAGTCCTGGAGCATGCAAGATATCAATGTTAAGGCCTGGAGCGGGACCTCAACAGTTCGAACGTACGTCCGGCTGTTGCGAGGTGGGACGGCATGTCCACGGCACACACCAGAATTGAGTTCTATTGCGATGTGTCTGCTGGTTGATTCGGGCGTTTCTTTTGCTTTGTTGTGCCTGTGTGTTCACATTCTTCAAGTTCCTGGTCATTTGGATGTGCTGCCCTGCAAGTGTTGTTTTTGCGGCTGGGCATTGAGTGAGTTTTCCTGTAGAGGTGTGAGGGGGAGGGGGTGAAGTCTGTGATTCC